GTGTTCTCTTAGGGGAGTTTGAGGCAAAATGGGATTAGCTGGTTATTACCTGATAGGGGAAGAGGTCCCTTTGTTGGGAGAGGGGGGTCACTTAGACTTCTTAGGATCCAGCTGTGTCCTGGACCAAATCTCTCTGGAGTGAGCCCCCTGTAAATTTTGGATTGAATGGACATTCTTTGGAAGGGCTCTGGGCCACAGTTGTTGGGCCCATCGGCTCATGGGGCAGAAAGTGAGACCTTATGTGGTAGGGTGGGCCCAGCAGAGAGGGTGCCCTGCTGGGTGAGTGATTGGACTGTGGCTTTGTGTTTGGTGTCCTATTCTAGATCTGAGTTTAGGTGTATACCCATGACCTCGTGATCTCTGCACATTCTAGGCTGTGGACACACAATGTGGCAGGGCACAGAGCAAAACGATGTATTGGTTGTCTCTGGTTATGGAATTGTGGGTGGATGCTTTTGTTTACCACAGATGTTAGAAAATAGAGATAAACATATATTTCTTTATTTTCCTTTCTAACTTAGACCTTGAATTTTACAGAGGAAAAATTTACTACAAACTCATAGTTGGAGTTTTACTGGTCTGCATGTTTTATGAATACTCTAAAAACGGTTTTCTCTCCAGAAATTCAAAGCGGTGTCTGTGGCCCAGTTTGAGCGGGTGCGGCGTTCCATCGTGAGGATCCATTGCTAGCCTGGTTCCTGGCTCTGCTTTTTCTCCCTGTCCTTGTTTTTCTCTTATCTTTCTCACCTACTTCTAATTTATGTCATTTGATTATATTTTACATATCACTACATCTTTTCTAGAACAAGCTGTGGTAAAAATAAGTGAAATAAATACTGGGTCAGGGAGTGTGAGCCTCCTTCTGTTTTATGACGATTTTTTTTTACCTTATTGCTTTGAAAGCATCGAACAAGTTTTTCTTGCTGTATTAAGTTCCCTGTATCCTTAAGGGAGCTTTTTAAAAATGAGCATTTTTTGATGTGGACTATAAAAATACTGTATGAGAATGGTATAAAGTTTGGAAATAAGGGTGAGTATCAAGAGGATGGTTCTCATTATCAGTTCTAAATTTTTCTTCTGATTTTTTATATCCATTTTTAACACAAATGAAATCATAATGTATGTACAATTAATTTTGTATCCTGCCGTTTTCCCTTAAAACTCTATCGAAGCATTTTTTGTCATTAAGAATGTCTTACAAACATAATTACTGATGACCATTGAATAAATATACTATAAATTTCCTTAACAGTTTTTTTTACTGTTGGACATTTAGGTTACTTCTATTCCTTTGCTATTTTAAACAATATTGCAAATGAAGATCATTATACAAATATCTTTGTCATAGTTTAAACATTTTTTTCCAAAGGTAGATACCTAGAAGTAGAATAACAATGATTAAAAACATAAATAGAAAGGAAAACCATAAATAAAGGAGAGAATACAGGTGAATATTTTTATAAGCTTGCAATGGGGATGGGCTCCTTATTGAGACACTAAAAGTAGAAGCTTTTTTTTTTTTTAATTTCAAAATATTAAGGAGGGTACAAATGTTTTTGTTACATGGATACCTTTCACAGTGCTTAAGTCAGGGCTTTTAGTGTGCCCATGACCCAAATAGTGTTCATTGTACCTCATAAGTAAGTTTTCACCCCTCCCCCTTTCCCCCCTTCTTGATTTCCAATGACATTTACATCTCTTTGTGCCCATCAGTTATCTCCCAATTATTAGAGTACATGTGGTGTTTGTTTTTCCATTCCTGAGATAAATAGTAGCAACCTTAAAAGGGGGAAAAAACAAGATAAAATCAACTACATAACAGTGAAAAAATTCTGTATAAGAAAAACCATATGGAAATTATGATAGACAAATGGCAATAAAGAGCTTACATAAATCAAAAAGATTTGATTCACAATTTAAAAAAAGACCCCGACAAAAGAAGAAAAATATATGGCTGACAAACTTGTTCAACTTCAATAGTTATTAAAGGAACGAAAATAAACATGGTATGTTATTTTTCAGTTATCAGTCCATCAAAGATAACTAGTTCCTGGCTGGGTGCTGTCTCTCACGCCTATAATTCTAGCATTTGGGGAGGCGGAGGTGGGAGGATTGCTGGAGGCCAGCCTAAGCAAGAGTGAGACCCCATCTCTACGAAAAATAGAAAAATTAGCTGGGTGTGGTGGCACTCGGGAGGCTGAGGCAGGAAGATCGCTTGAGCCCAGGAGTTTGAGGTTGCAGTGAGCTAAGATGACACCACTGCATTCTAGCCTGGGCAACAGAGCGAGACCCTGTGTCCAAAAATAAAAAATAAAATATGTGTATGTGTATATAAATTGCTATATTTCTGAAAGCAATTTGGCAATTAAAAATATGTGTACTTTTTCATCCAGCAGTTGTATCTTTGGGAATTTATTTTAAGGGCATTATCAGACAAGGACCTAATGATGCTTACTGTAGCATTGTTTATTGATTGAAAATTTGCGAACAACTTAAATGGGATTTGATTTAATTATGGTATAGCCATTCAGTGGACTACTATATGTTAAAAATGATTGTGTAGATCTGAACTTATTGACATAGAAGAATGTCCAAGATATATTAAAGATAAATGAGTGAATGAATGAATATACATAGAAAAAAACACAGAAAGATGTAAACCATAGTGTTAATTGTGCCTTTCTCTATTTAGAGGGATTATGGCTGATCTCTTTTCTTTATTTTTCCTGAAGTTTTAAAATAATTACATATAACCTGAATAAATAGAAGAAGAAGAAGAAGGAAAAAAAAAATCTGTTCCCCAAAAGTGAAATTGGTTGTGGCAAAACTTGTGTTTTATCATACTACTTTTTGTAATTACCAAAAATTGATTTCAAAGTTAGAGTAGAAATGTAACATACACTATAATTTATGAAATGGATTTGAAAAACAAAGAGAAATTGTCAGCTGATGATCACGTAACAGTTAAGAAGGCAAAAAGTAGAGCCCTCCATGTGTTTCCTTTACAGTGGAAATGAGTCGCTTTCATTTGGTACCTTTCAGCATACACCTCTCATGGGCCATGATCACGGGCAAGTCCTCAGATGGAGCCTTTCGCGGGGGCTGTGGGGGTCTTGAAGAACTTCCCTTCCAACTTTCTTCTTAACCGTTGAGGAAACTATGGCTCAGGGGAGGCTTAGTGGCATCTCAGGGCTCCGGAAGGGGGGTTGGTACAAGAACTGTGCAGGCGCAGAGTTCCTCCTACCCTGCCTAGGGGATGTGTCCGGCTACCTGCTCCCATTATTTCTTTTTTCTTTTCTTTTCTTCTTCTTCTTTTTTTTATCATCCAGCCCAAAATGTCATGCTCCCAATATTTCTGTCATGCTGTGCTTAAAAATTAGTCAGCAGTGACTTATTCTTTGGATTTAAGTATTGTGTTTTTCCTCTCTCCAATGTCACAATGCTAATTTGGGGGAGTCTTCTAATATATTAGTCACAAATAACTACGTTGAATGAATTTCCCCATACTTTCCAGCCTACCTCCCCAACATTGTGGAAGGGTATTTTGTTTGTTTGTTTGTGTGTTTTGAGATAGGGAAGGTCTCGCTCTGTTGCCCAGGCTAGAGTGCAATGGTATCGTCATAGCTCACTGCAGCCTCAAACTTCTGGGCTCGAGCAGTCCTACCCCCCAACCTCCCCAGTAGCTGGGACTACAGGCAGGTGCCACCATGCCTGGCTAATTTTTCTAGTTTTTACAGAGACAGGGTCTCACCCCTGCTCAGGCTGGTCTCCAACTCCTGGCCTCAAGTGATCCTTCTGCCTGGGCCTCCCAAAGTGCTAGGATTACAGACATGAGCCACCATGCCCAGCCAAGGTTGTGTTTCGTAGGCGTATGCTGGTGCATGGGACTTGAAAGGGGGAAACGATGTAGAGTGAGTTGGGGGGCCATACGAGATTGAATCCTTTAACTTGACAATTTTGCTCAGACTGTGAGCACAGGTTTTGGGGGAGGATGAAATTGTAATTTTCAACACCAGAGCTGTTCACGGCCTTTTCTTTGTATGACTCTTGTTCATACGTTTTTAAGATTTTCTTGGTGTTATGAATTAAAACCAACCTTTGGCTTGAAAGAGTAAATTTATGAAATGTAGCCTGACCATTTTTATCTTGTACTTTAATTTCTGAGAACAATGGCTGTCATACAGTCTCTACCTTCGTAGGGAAAAATGGCTTATCTGAGACACAGTTTTAGTTTGAGCAAATTACGGAGTAAAAATCTTATTTTGATATAAATCAACTTAATTTTATTTAACATTGGTTTTCATTAAAGTGCTGCAACCACATTTCAGAAAACTTTAACAATTCAGGAAAGGGGATGTGATTATTAAAATTTTTTTTTGTAACACAGTGGCATTTTGGTATTAATTATATTTCCTTCTAGATTTTTCTTATGCACCTAAAATACAACATAGTTTCAAGGTTATGGTTCTGGCAGAATATGGCAGATTAAGCAAAAATCTTTTCTATTTTCATCTAATCTGCCTCCTAAATGAGCAGCGATCTGTTATCTCTACTTTTTGTTTATTTTCCCTTTGGCAAAATTTGTCAGCATATTTAGCAGAAGGTGGAGACTTAATTTCTTTTCACAGATTTGGATTCAGTAGCAATATCCTAAGTAGAATTATTCTGCTAAAAGAAATTCTCAGAGTTAAGCTTGGAGGAAATGAATCAATGTTTCTAAACAATTCTGAGGGATAGCTGAGTTCCATTTCCTGAGGATACAGAGGAAAAAAATACCCTGACATTTTTATTGTAGCTTCTTGAATTTTTAACTGGGCTCAGTGGCCCAGGCTACTCATTCTACGTTGGTAAACTCTGCCATTTGGCTGGTGCATTTGGTGGAAGAAAAGTGTGTTCTTGCCTAGTTTAGTTATTCCGAGAGAGCTTTTTTCCTTCCCTTCAGCCAAAATATGCTACTGTTCCCTTATGCTTATTTTTTTCCATTCTGTTCTTATTTGCAGAGTACTCGGGTGGAGTTTGACCTGCCAGAATATTCTGTTCGTCGAAGATACCAGGATTTTGACTGGTTGAGGAACAAACTGGAAGAATCCCAGCCCACTCATCTCATTCCCGTAGGTAGTAAGTCATGACAGCTTGTTTCTCACTTTGCCTGCATTATCTTTCCCGAAGAGGCTCATTCAACTCTTGCCCTTTAAATTATGGGTAAACCCTGCCATTTTATTCTAGATTCACCCATCAAACATATGTAAAACATTTTTATGGATAGTGTATAGTATATTTCATCTTTTGGGTTTTGGTTTTAGATTTGCCATATAGTGTGCCAGTTCTTGGGTGGTGTAGGGTAAATTTTCACTTTCACTATGATAATTTTTTGAGATATGGATAGTCCTAATTCTCATTTGCTGCCTCTTTAAAGATTGAAACTTGGAAGTGTAAGCCTTACAGAAGCTCTTTCCCCCTTCGTAGACATTGGTCTTGAGGTTTGGATGGCTGCCACCAGGTGAAGAATGGTGGCTCAGATTGCAGCTGGCTGGGCTTTCTTTAGACATGGGAGCAAGAATCTAGCACACAATCCATTTTAACCACAATTTTTCATTTGAAAAACAAACAAGGAAACTACCTAACTCTATTTATTGAAGCAGCATAATGTTTATTTACTATAGTATTTCTATCTGCACATGTTTTAACAGAACCAGAGCAAATAAAATTTGAAAGACTACTAAATCACACACATTGAGTACTTTTCTGACTACTTTTTTCTTTTTTTTGAGACAGGGTCTTGCTTTGTTGCACGAGGGCTGTGGTGTGATTATAGCTCACTGCAACGTCAAACTCCCGGGCTCAAGCTACCTTCCTGCCTCAGCCTCCAGAGTAGCTGGAACTGAAGGCAGGTGCCACCACACCTGGCTGATTTTCCTAGTTTTTGTAGAGACAGGGTCTCACTTGCTCAGGCTGGTCTCAAACTCCTGGCCTCAAGCAATCTTCCCACCTCAGCCTCCCAAGGCCTAGGATTACAGGCCTGAGCCACCTGCCCGTCTTGACTTCTTTTGTTAAAAGTAAAAATAACTGTTTAGATACCAGATGTTTCTGTGGGCTTTGGGGGCCTTAGAGCAGTTTGGGTCATAAAATTCCTCAGAGGGGCTGATTTATCTTTCAGCAAAAACCTCAGTTCAATGATAACTTCTTAGCACCATCAACTTTTCTGTTACCACTGCTTCTTCCAGCCTTTTTTCCCCCATGGTCGGAAGAGGCTGTGTATGTTGTGAGCACGCTGGGAGTTTTCTTGGTTTTCAGAATGAAAAGAGCCACGTTGCTAGTGGTGTGTAGAAATGACAGGTCTTGCCGTTCTTTCTCAGGGCATTTCCTCCCCACCCCCCCGCCCCCCAATCACATACCCTCTCTGCTCTCCAAGCCTGAGTTTTGCTTTTCTCTTAAAAACATGCCTGAAGAGGAAACAATAGTTTTTAAAGAGTTAGGACTATTCCTTAAAATAGAATCTTAATTTGGCAAAATTGACAGTTGGTGAATCATTTTTTAAAAATAGACTTCTTATTTTAGAACAGTTTTAGAATTGCAGAATTATTGCGAAGGTAGAGAATTCTCATACCCCACACGCAGTTTTGCTTATTATTAACATTTTATATTAATATGGCACATTTTGTCGTAACCGATGAACCAGTCATCATTAAGTTAGCATTATTATTAACTAAAAGTCCATTATTCCAAGTTCCTACTTAGTTTTTGCCAAATGTCCATTTTCTATTCCAGGATCCCACATTATATTTAGTAGTCCTGTCCCTTGGGCTCTTGTCATTAGATTGGGGTAATATGTTTTGGGGAGGAAAACCACACAGGTGAGGTGCCTTTCTCATCACCCACATCGAGGGCACATGCTGTCAGCAATATGTATCGCTGTTGATGTTAACCCTGGTCACCTCACTAGAGGCAGTGTCAGGTTCCGTCACTGCACAGTTCCTTTCTTCCCCCTCCCTTTCCTTACCATACTCTTTGGAAGGAAGTTGCTCTTTATGGGCAGCTCACTACGTGTCTGGAATGAGGCTCCCCCTCCTGGCAGCTGGTGCATTTGAGGTTTGGTACCTGCAGATCAAAAGTTAGACAGTGACACCTGCTGGTGAAATGTAGTGGCTCACCCACAGACGCTAAGAGACTGAAGAGTCTCCAGAATGCCCACGGCGGATCCAGAGTATCTTTCAGGGTGGTTTCTTATCTTCTGGGTAGAAGCAGTGAGTAGGAAGGTACTTTAAAAAACAAGCGGAGACTTAAATTTCTTCATAAATTCTTGGTACTCACATATCTGGAGTGGAGAGAGATTTAATATAGGAGAGCGTCTCTGATTTAAGCATGAAAGTCAAACCAGAAACAACCCCCTTTTTCCCTACAAGAAATCATTTTTCAGCAGCTTTGCTAGGAGGTGTGTCTGTCCTATTATTAAGCATCAACTTTGCGTTAATCTTTTTCCTAGGCCTGGTACATGACCCTGGGGAGGAACAGAGGGTGGGGTGAGGGGTTATAAGAAAGACAAGGGACCCCTGCCTTGGGGAACTTACTGTCAAGTGGAGACCCTGTAAACAATGTAATTGTTGTTTAGATTTTCATTTCTTTTTTTAAAAACAGCTTTATTGAAATTTAATTCATATAGCATACAATTCACCCATTTAAAATGTACAATCAAAGACTTTTAGCGTATTCATAGAATTGTACAACCATCAACACAATTTTAGAAACTTTTCATCACCCCAAAAAGAAACCTCACACCCCTTAGTTGTCACCTCCAAACCTTCCATCTCCCCCAGCCCCTGGCAACCACTTATCTGCTTTCTCCCTATAGATTTGCCGCTTCTGGACATTTCATATAAGCGGAGTGAGACACTATGTGATGTTTTGTAACTGGCTTCTTTCACTTAGCATAATGTTTTCAGGGTGCATCCATGTCATAGCATATATTAACATTCCATTCCTTTTTATTGCCGAGTAATATTCCATTGTGTGGATATAGCACATTTGGTCTGTCTACTCACCCTTGATAGACATTTTGGTTCTTTCTCTTTTTGGCTATTATAACTAATGCTGCTGTGAACATTCATGTACAAGTTTTTCTGTGGACATACGTTTTCATTTTTCTTGGGTGTATACCTAAGAATATAATTGCTGAATCATGTATAACTCTATATTTAACCTTTTGAAGAACTGCCAGACTATTTTCAAAAGTGACTGCATCATTTTACATTCCCACATGTAGTGTAGAGGAGTTCTGGTTTTTCTACATCTCCGTCAACACTGGTTATTATCTGTCTTTTTGATTATAGCCATCCTGGTGGATGTGAAATTATATCTCATTGTGGTTTTAATTTGCATTTCCCTGATGGCTAATGATGTTGAGCACCTTTCCATGTACTTTTTGGCCATTTGTATATCTTCCTTGGAGAAATAGCTATTAAGATCCATTGCTCATTTAAAAATTAGGGTGTCTTTTTATTATTGAGTTGTCATAGTTCTTTGTATATTCTTGATACAAATGACTTATCAGATAAGTGATTTGCAAAAAATTTTTTAAGACAGGGTCTTGCTGGTCTCAAACTGCTGGCCTCAAATGATCCTCAGGCTGGTCTCAAACTGCTGGCCTCAAATGATCCTCCAGCCTCAGCCTCCAGAGTAGCTGGGACTACAGGTGCATGCCACCACACCTGGCTAATCTTTAAAATTTTTTCAGAGGCAGGATCTCGCCATGTTGCCCAGGCTGGTCTTGAACTCCTGCCTTCAAGTGATCCTCCTGCCTCAGCCTCCCAAGTAGCTGGAATTAAGCCCAGCTGATGGTGTCTCTTGAAGTACAGTTGCTTTTTTTGTGTGTGTGAAGTCCAATTTATTTTTTCTTTGGCTGCTTATGCTTTTGCTGTCACATTAAGAAACTATTGCCTAATCCAAAATCATGAAGATTTATACCTGTGCTTTCTCCTGAGAGTTTATACTTTTAGCTCTTTAATCCGTTTTGAGTCCATTTTTAGATAAATTTTTGTTTCTTTGATTACTAACGAGGCGGAATATCTTTCTATGACTTTATTGGATATTGGCATTTTAAATGAATTCCCTCTTCATTTTTCTCTTTTTTTTTTTCCTTATTAGTTTGTGGGGGAAGAAAATTAACCCAGTTGGGAATATCTTATCTTTCTACCTATTTTTTCTCCATTTGTCATTTGTCTTAGACTT